GGAATTGGGCTATATTAAGGGTGGGAAGATTGCACATAAGGAGATGGGTGCAGTGACTGAGGTGGGTTTTGCCCACAATTAAGTATATGTAATTTCATTGGTGACTTCTGTGTAATGCTTTTTCTTATCAAAAAGGTAATTTTATCTGTTAGTATTACATTATGGCATTATGCCAATCTTTTTCGTAATTAACTATGACTTGGGTGATACAAATGGTGATGTTGGATACAAAAATTTGTCCGGTTACATACCTGATGGAACCTAAGATTTCAAAATGTAGGTCTTCATATTAATACCGTGAATCAAATGTCTGAGCTCATTCCAAAGAATGCGCGATGTATTGGCAAACACCAGATTGTTGAATTTGAAAAAGTGTTTCTGGATCTGCTAATGAAAAAAGTGTTCCCTGCTCTTGATATGCAGAGCATGATCTATTTTAGTTTAGATGGCATGTAGTTAAGTATCCCACATTGGCTGTGGGAAATTTGTTGGTGTTTCCTTGTATGATTTTGGGCAATTATCATCTTCTGAGCTAACTTATGGGGGAAAATTAGGTACAGGGTCCATTTTCTCCACATGGTATCAGAGAAAGTCATCCCTATTCTTGGTTTACCCATATGTTGGGCCCTTATACTGTATTGTCTACGCACCAGATGTTCAGTCCTGGAAGTGTAGGGCTGGGGATGTTAAGTGTCCCCTATTGGTTGAGGCGATGGCTATTGTCTCCCTATATGTTCGTGGGGGCAATCCCCATCTCATGAGCTAGCTTTTAGGATTGAATTAGACCAAATGTCCATGTTTTTATCAGTACCCAGTTCAGGTAATTGAATGCTAAAAATATGAGTGTTCTGTCTTCCACGATATTGTGATTGCTGGTGCAGTTATCTCGAGATAATATATTTCGATAAGGTCAATATGCAAGAGCTCTACCCTTCTCAAAAAAAATATGCTGGAGCTGTAATTATTTCCTACTTCCTAGTTGCTACAGTTATTATTCTGTTGGAACTTGACTGTTATTTTTGCCTTTTGATTTCACTAGATACTTGGTTCGAACGAGCAAATGAATTTCTTTAGCCAATGACCCAATATATCTCGACTTTGGACTATTGGGTATGTGTCATAGGGAAGAGGGATCCACCTTTCTATTTTTTGATGGGTTGGTTACTAGCAATGGAGAAAGTTAATCACATTCAAGAGTTTTCTGATGCTTTGCATGGGATTTGAGAGAAATACCTACTGTTATGAATAAATATATTATGCAGAAATCTGATAGATGAAAGCTGCTCAGATGGTAATTTTACATGAACATGCATTCTGCCTCTTAAAACTTTAAGTGCATTTACTGGTTAGCTTCTGGTGGTTTAGGTAAGATACTGAAATATTACTCCCTTTTCTGTTTTTTCCTTTGATTGCACCGGAAAACACTGCTTTTTGAAATTTGGCTATCTCCAAGACTTCAACAGTTGTGCTTCAGTGTTGCATATGCATTATGTGTTTTCTGTGTTTCTATGGTAGCTAAAATATTTCAGATCCTAGATGGATTGCAATATATGTCTTCTGAACCTTTTGAGAAAGTTGGGAACAATTTCATTTATCTTCTTATGACCATCCTTTTACCAACTGGATAATGCTAAAAAATTGATATGTTATGAACTCATGTTTTTCCCTTTCTAATGTAAATATCTTCAGGTTATTGCAAATCGAGCAGCTGAAATACTTGGCCATAAGCGCGGTGACAAACATGTGCATCCAAATGACCATGTAAATAGATCGCAATCTTCAAATGATACCTTTCCTACGGTAAGCCTCCTTTAATGTTACTTTTGTTGCAAGATATGTTACTATTCTTTTTAAAAAATTATGCTGACTTCTTAGTAATACTTATTCTTTTTCATGTGTAGGTGATGCATATTGCTGCGGCAATGGAGCTAAATAAAAGATTAGTACCAAACCTGAAACAGTTGCATACTTCACTACATTCAAAGGTTGACTATTAAGTTGTTTCACTTGTATAGTATTAAAATAATATATAATAAATTTTTCCCAAAAAAAAACTGTTCCGATAAGTTTTGAAATACTTTTTACAGCATTATTTGGTTCTTGTATTCTGCTTGCTCGTTTACATAGATGCCAGATCTATTGGTTCACAATGTTGCAATTCATGCTTATTCAGTCATTAATGCTCAAAAGGGAGCAGGTTGCCCTTTCTGAACTTATATAACGAAATGGTGAATTTGGTTGAGCATTATGATGAAGATAAATTAAGAAAAGTCAAGACAGTATCACAGAAAAGTCAAGACACTAAAAAGATTGATTAGATCAGAGCATCATGATGTATCCATCTTCTGTTGGCCTGTCTGGAATTATTTATGCCTTTTGATTAGATTCTGCTACAATACCATTAAACCAAATCAAATATGCAGCTCAATCTTTTGGAATGCCTTTACAGGACAACAAAGATAAAACATCTACCTCTTTCTCTTTGTTGAACACATTAATTATCTTCAAGTTAATGTTGTTTGCCCAATTGTCGAAGAATTACTATGCTTTTGGATCCGATCCTATCTCACAGCCTGATTATCTTAATTGCCAATCTAAATTTGATTTTCAAGGCGAATGCTAATATTATCAGAGCAGCTAAGTCATGTTATTTGAAGTCATTTGCTATTTTGATTCAAATTCTGCTGCTTGCCTTGGCATCTAGTCAATAGATGCTCTCACAAAATCTTCTCAATTTGTCACACTTCTGTAATATTACTATTAATTCCTTTGTAACTAAGCCGCTTTCCTATCCAATTACTTTTACCAGTCAGTCGAATTCAAGGACATTATTAAGATTGGGCGAACCCACACACAAGATGCAACCCCTTTGACTCTTGGACAAGAGTTTAGTGGGTATGCTACTCAAGTAAGCTCTATTTACTTTCAGCATTTTTACATGCTAAAGTTGTCACTACAAGTAGAGAAAGAGTGTTCACCTCGGTTTGCCTTAAAGCGTTCTTTGCTGTTGTAGGTGAAATATGGAATTGACCGAGTCTTGTGCACCCTTCCACGCATGTATCAGGTTCTTTCTCAACCCTTTACTTTCCTTTAATTTCCTTGTTCCTCCTTTTGTCCTGTTTTAACTGATAACAGCTTCATTGAGCAGCTCGCACAAGGAGGCACAGCAGTGGGGACAGGACTGAATACAAAGAAAGGGTAAGTGTTCCAGTATTAAGGTTGGGTTGTGGTCAATTTCAGCCACCCAATCTCCATTATTAGTATGCAAAGGTGGAGGGAGCATTCTAGCTGCTCAATCCTTTAAATTTGTTTTTGTTATCTCTCTTATTGTGTCATCCTTTCATATATCCAACTTCAGCCATGCCATATGTTTTAAGTTGTGGTTATATTATGTTCATTCTCCATAGGTTTGACATTAAAATTGCTGCAGCAGTGGCAGAGGAAACTAACTTGCCATTTGTAACAGCTGAAAACAAGTTTGAAGCACTGGTAATCTCATGATTCTTGAGTGTATTGTTTGTGAATTGGAGGTTCTGGTTGCTTGCTCATTGTTTTGATATAATACGCTGGCAATCGCAACCATTGTTTAGTGTTTAACAATTCTGGCACTGGCAGGCTGCTCATGATGCATTTGTTGAAACCAGTGGAGCTGTAAATACGGTAGCTGCTTCCCTCATGAAGGTTGGGAATGATATACGCTTCTTGGGAAGGTATGCGTTTCATATGTATTATTTCCTCAGTAGGTTGCTATCTTTTGGAGACGTCAAAGCTTAGAAGGATGTTGTTTTCCATGGATTATATGATTTTTTTCAAATTACTTTCATTTGGAGGATTTACATCCTTTTGTATTCAGTGGTCCCCGCTGTGGTCTTGGGGAGCTCATTCTTCCTGAAAATGAACCTGGAAGCAGTATAATGCCGGTAACTTCATTTCCTTTGAATCTGTTGAAAGACTATGTATGCATCCTCTTGTCATTTTTAACCTTTCTACCCAATCTTAAAAATGACTTCCATTTCAGGGCAAGGTGAATCCTACTCAGTGTGAGGCTCTCACGATGGTCTGTGCTCAGGTAATTGCACCTTGATTTCCAATGCATGACATTTATACAATTGGGTCTACGCTAGTTGTTTGTTTTCAAGTTTAATGGTTGAACCTTTTATGAGCTGCAGGTTATGGGGAATCATGTGGCTGTCACAATTGGTGGATCAAATGGCCATTTTGAGCTGAATGTTTTCAAGCCTATGATTGCTAATGCTCTTCTACATGTATGATCTGCCATTCTTTTTTGTTTTCTTTCTGTTAATACTAAATTAGAATTAAGGGTATGCATTCTCAAGTCTAAGCTACTGTCAGAGTGAAGCATGGAACCATAAGATGTTTGCCAGCAGTTAACCGTGCTGACTTTTATGTTCTCACCCTGGCAATAGATGTGGGGTGGGGTGGAGTGAAGTCTATTTTATCTCTGATTGTGACTAATTTGTGGTTTCTACACCTCTCCATTCTTCCTGGAAATTTATAAAGCATGTGCATTCATCGTTGTTTTAGTACCATTGATAGTTTAGATGCACCATATGCGTGATGCTGTAGTCTAAAGCAGTTAAAGTCTGTACCTTATCAAAAAAGAAAGCAGTTAAGTCTGTATCTGCTGCCTTTTTACTTCCCAAGGCTGACATACCTCTCTTTTTCTGTCATGTGCAGTCAGTAAGATTGCTAGGGGATGCATCTGCTTCCTTTGAAAAGAATTGTGTGAGGGGTATTCAAGCTAACAGAGAGAGGATTGCTAAATTGTTGCACGAGGTCAGTTACTGTATCTGATAAACTAACTTTGGTACCCTCTTCTACTTTACAAGTTTTAAGCTCTATTTTATTGATCTCATTTCGTGTATAACTTTACAGTCGCTCATGCTCGTCACATGTTTGAACCCAGTAAGTATCCATCTACATGTTCAAAGTACATGCTTACCTGCAGCAATTTTTACTACTACTATTCCCGCATAGTTAGGACTGAACTGACAAGAACGATTTAAAACTGAAGAAATTTTACTGATTGCTGATATGCTTGCTGTCTATTTCAGAAAATTGGTTACGATAATGCTGCTGCAGTTGCCAAGAAAGCCCACAAGGAGGGAACCAGTTTGAAGGTAATGACATTTGTCAATTATGCTTAGGGGATCAATTTTTTTTCTTAATAAAAAATTGACGTATATTTGAATCTGCAGGATGCTGCTCTCAATCTAGGAGTCCTCAAATCTGAAGAGTTTGATCAACTTGTAGTTCCTGAGAAAATGATTGGTCCAACTGACTGATCAGCTCCATTAGTTCTATCAAATGGGAGAGAGGACCATGGCTGTAGGGTGCATCATATTAGCTGTTTTCGTCCATCAAATTCAACTAGGAAAATAAAATATTTAACGCAATTCTTGAGGTTTTCTCATTCCTTACAATTTATCAGCACTTGACTGGGGGAATGCCTCCATTTTTTGTAATGAGACCCTGAGCTATAGCGAAGTAAATAATGGACTGAATCATTTTTTCCTACCGTTGCTGTGCTAAGGTTGCTGTCGTTACTGACGGGTAGGGGTGTACATGGACCGGGTTGGTTCAATTTTCGATTTTTATCAAAACTAAACCAAACCAACTATATCGGTTTGGATTGGTTCGGTTTTGTCGGGGTTTTCGGACTTTTTGTTACTTAAATATTATTTCAATCTTACTTTGTTAAATATTTAATAAGTAAATATATAGTATTTAGTAAAAATATAAAAAATTGACAAACATATTATCGATTAAAATATTCTTATGGGAGAATTCTATTAGTAACACATAATAGTTATTTTTTTAGTTGTTTGACAAAATTTTCGTTGATGTACACTTTTAGGTTAACAATTTTTTCGTTGATGTACGCTTTTAGGTTAATAATTTTTTCGTTGATGTACACTTTTATAACCGAATTTAGTAATTAAACATAAAAATCAATATGATACCTAAAGATATAAGACTTTAATAGATCTTAACATATGATATGAATATGGAAGAACAAAAGAGATAAACGCATTTTACTAACACTTGATAAGAAAGTGATCATACAACCTATTATTTAAGGTCAATAAATATGGAACACTTCATATTCTATTAAAATTTATATCCCGCAAGAGAATCAGTTTTGCCATAAAATTCACTTTGATTCTATTTTATTTTCACTTTGGAATCTCGAGTTGTAGCATGCATGCATGCGAGTCGCAAATGTTGACATGCTAACAAGTTTAAACTTTTAGAAACAAGGTTAAGTTAATCTTCCTCCATTCATTTTCCCCAAATATAATTTTCTTCTAGTCATGGTACATTTTACTAGGCTCCGGATGTACAACGTATCTAGGATTGTGAGCTCCTCAAGAATAACTCGTCTTAACACATAACTAGTTACCTAGTCGAGAATATAATTTCTGTCACTAGTTATATCCTTCTTTTACTAGCTTGAACCTCATCTCGATGTTTGCATAATCGCTCATCTTTGTATTGAGTGGCCTTTATGCGCTTTACTAATGAAGACTTTACTTGAACACAAGCCAACAATGGCTCTGAAATTTTTCACACTAAATCTGACCCCTGTACTATTAGTCTGTGCATATTCTTAACCAAAAGTCTAGTTATAGGAGCTATATATGCTGAACTGCCCCACATTTTTTTACTTAATGCATTGGTACAATGGCATTTCCAGGATAATATAGAATAGTGCAATAGTCATAGTCCTTAAATAATTTTATCTATCTACCTTGCTAAAAATTCAAATGTCTCTCCTAGAAGACGTATTTTAGACTCTTGTGGTCTATAAAAATCTCGCAAGTTTCATTGTACAAATAGTGTCTTTAAATTTTCGGAGCAAATACAATTACGGCAACCTCCAAATCATAGGTGGGATAGTTCTTATTCTACCTCTTTAGCTGTGTTGAAGTATAAGCTATCACATGATCAGTCTGCATGAGAACATATCCTAATCTGACATTCGAAGCATTACATAACACTACTGTAAATCCTCTAGAACATGATGGTAAGGCTAATATTGTTAGTGGTCAAACATGTCTTGAGCTTCAAAAATCTCTACTCACATTTTTTCGTCCACTGAAACTTTGATTTTTTCTTCTTCTATGTTAACTTGGTAAATGGCGCTGCTACTATAAAATAATTCTACAGAAATAGCTTGTAGTAACCTCCTTACCCCAAGAGGTTGTGAATCTCCATAGAAGTAGTTGATCCTTGCCACTTCTGAACTGCTTCTATCCTATTGGAATCTACCGTAATCACATCCTTAGTTACAATATGCCCGAGGAATGCCATTGAGTCTAGCCAAAATTCATGCTTCGAGAACTTGGTAAAAAGCTGATTTTCTCCAGCGTCTTTTACACATTTTTCAAGTGATCCTCATGTTCTTCCTGGCTATGAGAATATACAAGAATATCACTTTTAAGAACTATGAATTTTGTTTCCTCCAAAGAGCCAACTTGAACACCTTATCCATTATGTATGTCAATACAGTTGGAGCATTGGCCAGTCCAAAATGTATCACAAATAACTCTTAATGTATGTACCGAGTTCTAGAGGCAGCCATCGAAATATATTCCTTTCTTATTCTAAGCTGATGATAGCCAGATTGAAGATCAATGGCTTTTTGTAACAGATCAAACAAGCCATCTATATGAGACAATGGATATTTATTACTATATGTTTCTGCCTTGTTAAGAGTATGTACTTTATGCACAACTTTCTTTTTTGGTCTCGTCTTTCTTTTTCGCAAACAGTATTGGTGTACCCCATGAATATATACTCGATTTGATAAAATTCTTATCAGTAGGTCTTGCAACTATTCTTTTATCTCTATCTAGCTCCGTTGGTTTCATACAATAAGGGGATTTCGATATGGGTTGCATGTTAGGTGTCAAATCAATACCAAAGGCTATTCTCATACTAGCTAGTCCTGGTAAATCCTCAAAAATATATCAAAGAATTCTCTAGCTATTGGTACATTTTTCCGAGTTAGGAAGTCTCTTATCATAACTAAGGATCCCAACAACCAATCTTTAGTAACATTGAGCCTTGATACATGATATAACCTTATGTATCTTTGAAAATTATTCTTCTCTTAGGACAAAATTGGGTTAGTTCATCATCTCAAACTCAACTTCCTTTGCATGTAATCGCGGGTGGCATGGCAAGAAAATAACTGATCCATTTCAAGTAGACCATATTAACTAATATCAAGTCGACTAAGATATCCCTATGTTCAACTTGAATTTGGCAAGCTCGTTAAATATATTCAGTTAACTTAGATCCTCCCAGATGAGTAACACCCCAAATGGATCATTCAACATCTCATATTCTATGTTTCCAATTGTTTGACCCCCGCTAAAATGCTCGCCTAATGAATTCCCCAATCTTGTACTTCGCTCATAAAACTTTTGTTGCATACCTATCATACTCATGTTTTCAATCTTTTAGCAAGCTCAATTACCATAAAATAGATCATACTCTTCGTAAATGAGGTTACTGCCTTATTTAAAAGGTTAAGCACCCCTTAGACAATTCCTTAAACTTTAGATAATGTGTATTTAGCTAGTTGAGGAAGTCTAGTGGCATATATCGGTACTTCTATTGTGTTAACCAATTTCTTACCTAGTAGATTCACGCTTTTGGCTTACAAGAAGGAAGTGATTCATAAATAGTTTAGAGAACTCATTCCCAAGTAAAATGTGTTGCTCTTCCTAATACTACGATATTATACCATTAATTGGCTAGTTCTCCGGTCTGTAAACTCTAGCTAAACGGACCTTTTTGCCAGTATATTCTAGATCCCATAACGCACAAAAATACATTCCTTAGGGTATCTGAGGATCCTCCAAACTATAAGAAATCTTAAACTTGGCAGTTTCAACTTTAGGAACTTTATTAAGGATACATCTTTATTTCCGATAATCTTTGTCAATTTAGGTATCTGAGGCCTCTAAAGCTTCATTTTTTTTCCATGCTTATCTTGTCTATCCATTATATCCATTAAGATCTAAATTTTTCCTTTTACATGAAAGTAAATAATTTTGTGACGACTTTATTCTATTGTTATAACAGTGAACTAGTGCTACTTTCTAAAATGGAATCTAATGCACATCTTAGGAGTATGAAAGCCCCATGTTGCGGTACAATAGCCCTTTTTATTGGCTTTTATATTATTTCTGTCACTTTCTTTTGCCGGGAGACGATTAATTGTTCACTGGCAGCACTTGTGTCTTTGAACCTCTAGCTAAATTCTATTATTGGATGATTGGTCCTAGCCAAACCGGAACTAGATAAAAGGTGACATATTGAGTTATCTGGCCCTAATCGCCACACACGTAAGGAGGAATAAGAAGAAAAATAAGACACATCATATCACTCCCTCGCAGAATTATGATTATGGGAACGACTGGCTACATAATCATAATTGAGATTCTACTACCAACGTATGCTCCTTTAGTCACAAGAATAACCAAAAGCTCTGATACCAACTTTGTCACGACCCAATTTAGGATCATGACCAGCGCTTAGGAGCAAGTGCTCCTAAGTAAGCCTCATCGATAATTTACAGTTCTCTGTATGTGCATTTTGGCGCATTGTTTAATGTATGTGCCTAAGAGGGAAAGACCCAAGCGGGTTGGCCTTATGACAAATGCCTCATGTGATTATTTATTACCGCTTATAAGTTAAATTTTACCTACTAGAGAACTACTTTCAGCTATTGTTTTGAGATATACACTTCATCCTTAGCTTGCCAAAAAAGGATTGATTTATGTGGAAGGAAGTGAAAAGAGAAAAAGCAAAAGATTATTATCCGGAGCAGGGAGCACCTATGATCGTTTAGTATCTAGTGTCAAAATAGAGCTTGTGATTCCTTTTATCCTCAATAAAAGATATAACCCTGTCTTGTAACTTTATTTTATGAACAAATACGTCATTTACTAAGCATACATAAACTTGCATAACTTCAGTGTATATGGTACAGTGAAATATTTTGAAATGATGCCAAAATAAGAAAATGTCAATCAAATAATCAATTATGCCTTAATCTCAAACTGTTTGGATAAGTTGTGCGAATCTATTCTTTTTCTGTTCAGGTCATTTCATTCCAAGAAATGTTTCGTTCATTTAACACTATATCCCAGTAAGAAATAAGAAAAGGTGTTGCTTTGAATAACATTTTTCTTGTTTTGGAAACGATACTCTTGTCTTGTTCGTGCCGTGGACTACTCTCTCTACACTGATGACCCAAAAACCGCGGTAGATTCCACTGGTGCGGATCTACATGGAAGGTGATGGGTTCATGCGAACCCATACTCCCATCCTAGACTATGTATAGCATTCGTATTTTTTTGATTTTGTTCTTAAATAGGTATCTGTGCAATCATACTCAAGTGAGCACTTTGGCTTAACGATGAAGGAGTGCACCTTCTTCTTGGACTTTTTAATTAAAAATACTTCTGTTTCTTTAGGGGTCGTTTGGTTTGAATACGGCTT